ATTTGGATCTATCTAACTGCTCAAATCTGGTGGAGTTTCCATCCTCTATAGGGAATGAAAATAAACTCAAGAAGTTATATCTTTGTGATTGCACAAGTCTTGTGAAACTCCCGTCTTCTATAAATGCCACTAATCTCAAGAGATTGCTTCTACAAAATTGTTCACGTGTTTTGGAGCTACCTGCTATCGAGAATGCGACTAAACTTGTGATATTGAATCTCAATAATTGCTCAAGTCTACTAGAGCTCCCTCCTTCTATTGGAACTGCCACAAACCTTAAGAGATTGGAAATGAGAGGGTGCTCAAGTCTCGTGAATCTCCCCTCCTCTATTGGAGATCTCACTAATCTCGAAGATTTGGATCTATCTAACTGCTCAAATCTGGTGGAGCTTCCATCCTCTATAGGGAACCTTCAGCGATTGTCTTCGTTGACATTGAGAGGATGCTCAAAGCTAGAGGCTCTTCCAACCAACATCAACTTGAAATCTCTCAGTATACTTGATCTCACAGATTGCTCGCAGTTGAAAAGTTTTCCTGAGATCTCCACACACATTGAGTATCTGTGGCTCACAGGAACATCAATAAAAGAAGTTCCTTTGTCGATCATGTCGTGGTCTGGTCCTTATGATTTCAGTATGTCATACTTTGAAAGCCTCAAAGAATTCCCGCATGCTCTTGACATCATCACATATCTGCATTTGGTAAACGAAGACATACAAGAAGTTGCTCCATGTGTCAAGGGAATGTCTCGTTTACGTACACTTAGACTCGACAACTGCAAGAATCTGGTATCCCTCCCCCAATTTTCAGATTCTTTATGGAACATAGATGCAGACAATTGTCAATCCCTTGAGAGATTGGATTGTTCCTTTAACAATCCGGAGATCCGTTTGAAGTTCAGAAACTGCTTCAAACTGAATCAAGAAGCCAGAGATCTCATCATGCACACATCGACTTCTAGATATGCGGTGTTACCTGGTAAACAAGTGCCTGCCTGCTTCAATCACCGAGCTACTGTTGGAGATTCCTTGACAATTAAGTTGAATGAGTCGCCTCTTCCTACATCCTTGAGATTTAAGGCTTGTTTGATGGTGGTTAAACTTTTTGAAGAATTTGATGATTGTGAAGAAGAAACGAGTGATGATGAACAAGAAGCGAGTGATTATGAAGAAGAAACGAGTGATGATCAGAGTTTGACAAGAGTAAATATTGACATTGTGGACAAACTCGGAGAACGTCCATGTTTAGAAGAGCATATCTATACATTTGAAGTTGAAGCAGAGGAGGTGACTTCTACTGAGCTTGTGTTTCAGTTAAAACCAAGACATATGATTATGAACCGGATGATCGGAGAATGGGGTCTATATCGAATCTTGGAGAATCCTTAGTGTTAATGAACATGATGATGAGATCTTCGTTCTAGAATTGTATTGTTTTGTTTGGACCAACTCACAAGGAAACTTGAATATTTGTTGTTACTTGGTCTGCTGTTTCTTTAATACGTACTGGACTTTGCTGGAAAGTTGATGATAGTGCAAGTTCAGAGTCCCACTTATCATGTTGTTTCGATCATTAAGATTTATATCTTAATTAATAATGTAAGAGTATGAGAGAAATAAGGTGAAGCTTGAATCGTTTGACATCTTTTTATTATTCTTTGTACTCCGTATTTTGAGAGAGTGCTTGTGTTTAGTTTTAATATTTGAGCAGATTCAAATTAATTATTATGTTGTGATAATGGATAACACACTAAAATTTTAGCAGAGGAGCTATAGTCTTGTTGTTGTTGCAGTGATAACAAGCAGATACATCAAAGGTATCTTCATCTCATCTTTACTTAAACTCAACCTCTCAGATCATACAACAGTTTGCCTCAAAATTCTCTGTTTGTAAACAAATAAGCATTTTTATAGAATAAATAAAATACATAAGAAGGAAAAAGAAAACAGCACAAAGAAAAGAAGGGGAGACACAATCTGTGTGTGTATGTATAAAGAAACATCCAAAGTTCCCATCAAGCTTGCAAGAAGCTAGCGTACTTATCACCTAAGAGGAGCCACATTTATAAAAAAAAAAAATGAAAGATTCTAAAACAAATAAAAGAAACAAAAATCATGGTATTGTGCGACTTGAGATTCTGATTGATCAACCAAGCAACACAAGAGAACATAGCTCACCTTTTCCTAGTCGAGCTCTTAACCATTTCCATGAGCCTTTGTATGGAGCTCTTAAAGTATATGAGGAAATGGGAGTCATCTGGGGCATTTAGCTCGGTCGTTTAGGCAACACAGTTAGCTCTTAATGAGTCTGTCCATTTAAGCTCTCCATTGAAAGGTGCATTAGCTTAATGTGTCTGTCCATTTAAGCTCTCTCACTAGTCATGTTGTTCTGTCAGTTAGTTGTATTGAAAATAGTTTCATGTATCACTACTTTTTTTTTCGTTTAAGTTTTGTAAATGCGTGGTTGATCTGTTTTGTTGGGACTAAGCTCACATGGCAATTTGAATCTCTTAATAGACGCATCTGCAGAAAGTTTCGGTTTTGTATTTGCTTGCTCTGTTTTATTTTATCCTTTACTTACTCTGTATTGCTTAATGATATATATAATCTGCAGATTCAACTAGCTAGACTTACTTGGCTCGAATTACAAAGCAACATAAAGAACTGAAATAAACAAATGATGAAAGTTCACATATCGTATCCCAAAACATGAATAAACTATACATTTTGAAAAAGAAAATATGAATGCTAATCAAAACAGGGAAGAAACGAAGTACATTTGATGAAATTGATTTAGAATAAAGATCTGTATTGGCAAACTCGTATTCACATCCATTATCCATATATGGTCTTGATAAACAGAAACGTCAAGAGTTATTTATATAAGTTACCTAAGAAGTAAGAAGAAAATATAAATTTTTTCTTTAAAGAAGAGAAGGCCTGGCCGTTTCGACACGACAGTGGGCAAAAGTAGATGAGACGTTGAGGTTACTAGAAATAAGACAGACCTTGTACCTTGGTGATGAAACTTCGTACCCTAAAAGGAAGTACAAGTATAATTCCTAACTTACAACATTCAAAACAGCTTACAAGTATTTTTGTATCATCAGAAACTTAAAAAGACCACTCTGTTTTAATCGGTGTAATATTCGTATACAACTGTACAGTCCTACCTATAAGCTCAATAATAAATAAGGCCTACGTGATCGTTGCGTTTATTCCTTGGGACCAAAAATTTAGCGTGTTTTGTGACCAAAGAAGCGGTGGTGAATGAGAAAACAGTCGCTGCGACTACATTTTACATATGTCACCGGTGTGACCATTCATCACAAAAAAAACGGCGACAGTTAATATGATCGTTGCGACTACTTTTAACAACATTAGCGACTTAATTCAAGGATTTCAACACCGGCGACGTATACTTTTTAAGTCGCAGAAAGTGTTCGCTGCGATCACGTGCCTAACTCATTTGTCATTATCACTCAACAAAGTATTGTGAACACATGAGACCTAACTTTTCAAAGAAGCTACAGCACAACATAAGAACAGAAACAAACAAATCAAAGAAGCTCTATTAATTAGCAACTTTACAGAAATGGAATTTTACATCCATATATGGCTTCAATTTTCGATATAACCAAAAAAGTCAAGACTCAAGAGTGGTGTTCATAAGAGACGTAAGAAACAAGAAATTATGTTTTTTTTTATAAAGAAGAGAAGCTACGTTCCCTAGTAACTAGTAAGCATCTGAAGTGGCATAGCCACTTTCATATCATACCAAGTAGTCTGTTACTTGGTCTGCTGGAGTTCCTTGAAGATACTGGAGTTTCTTGAAGATGCTTGAGAGTCTTTGCTGGACAGTAATTACCTTGGAAAGTTGAGAGTATGAGAGAAATGATGTGAAGCTTGAATCTTTTGACATCTTTCTTTGTAAACCATTGTTAAATTAATAATTTCGATATATAAATTCTTATATTGAATTATAAATAAATTAGGTTTTGGAATTTGCATTGATGAATTTTGGCTATGTTCGACTTATCTATATATATATGGTCTACATTCGGTTCCATTGCGACTATCATTTCGTTCTTAAAAAACCTTTGAACAAACCTTAACCTGAAAATTCAATGAAAAATATTCCAAAATCTCCCAAAAAGAATACCACAGTCAAACAACATTATTATTTAATATCCTCCATAAATAATACATCAAAGATAATTAATTTAAAGACACTCGATGACTAATCACAATGTCAACTTGCATTAGTAAATGATTAGTGGAATTAGTTGTAGTAGGTGTGATCGTTAGCAAACATTTTCCACAAAATCTCTCACTATATTTTCCAGGAAACATCCACTGAGTTTCTCTTTATTTTATTGCATCGGTGAGATTTTCATGTCCAGATTTGTTTCTTACTCTTCACTGTCTCAATTAAACTCCAACGTTTTACAGTTTTTTTTTTTTTGAAAAAGGTTTACTTAAGGTTTAACCACTGTGGAATCGAATAGACTGGACTGGTTCTTGATGATTATGTTGATCTTGATGGTTTCTTTGTTTTTCGATTAGTGTTTTGACACCAGTTCTTGATTACGTGTTCTTGATTTTTAACTTTTAGGTTTCTTTGTTTTATTCAAAATTTTCACCTAA